ATTATTTGCACCTTGAGAAATCCTTCCCTGGCCAGGCATGGTGGCTCACGTTTATAATCTCAGCACTTTGGAAAACTGAGGTAGGAGATCACTGGAGCCCAGGAGTTCAAGACCAGTCTGGGCAACATGGTGAGACCCTGTCTCTATTAAAAAAAAAAAAAAGACCATCAATAAATTGAGGAGAAATGACATCTTTATGATATAAAATTTTCTAGCTCATGAGCATGGTATCCCTCTTCATTTACTCGGGATTTTTTAAAACCTTGGAAACTTTTTAAATCTTTCCCATACGGCCCTCTGATTTTACATCTGTCCATGAAATGTTTGAGTCATTTTCTTTTTTTTTTTTTTTGAGACGGAGTCTCGCTCTGTTGCCCAGCCTGGAGTGCAGTGGCCGGATCTCAGCTCACTGCAAGCTCCGCCTCCTGGGTTTACGCCATTCTCCTGCCTCAGCCTCCCGAGTAGCTGGGACTACAGGCGCCCGCCACCTCGCCCGGCTAGTTTTTTGTATTTTTAGTAGAGACAGGGTTTCACCATGTTAGCCAGGATGGTCTCGATCTCCTGACCTAGTGATCCGCCCATCTCGGCCTCCCAAAGTGCTGGGATTACAGGCTTGAGCCACCGCGCCCGGCCGAGTCATTTTCAATTATAAATATTGCCTGGTTTGGCTGGACGCGGTGGCTCATACCTGTAATCCCAGCACTTTGGGAGGCTGAGGTGGGTGAATCACCTGAGGTCAGGAGTTTGAGGCCAGCCTGGCTGACATAGTGAAACCCTGTCTCTACTAAAAATACAAAAATTAGCCAGGTGTGGTGGTGCATCCCTGTAATTCAAGCTACTTGGGAGGCTGAGGCAGGAGAATCTCTTGAACCCAGGGGGCGGAGGCTGCAGTGAGTCGAGATCACACCATTGCACCCCAGCCTGGGTGACAGAGTGAGACTCCATCTCAAAAAAAAAGAAAACTCTTTTTTTTTTTTTTTTAAGACAGTCTCTCTCTGTTGTCCAGGCTGAAGTGTAATGGTGTGATCTCGGCTCACTGCAGCCTCCGCCCCCTGGCTTCAAGAGATTCTCCTGCCTCAGCCTCCCTAGTAGCTGGGATTACAGGCACCTGCCACCACACCCGGTTAATGGGGTTTCACTGTGTTAGCCAGGATGGTCTCAGTCTCCTGACCTCGTGATCCACCTGCCTTGGCCTCCCAAAGTGCTGAGATTACAGGTGTGCACCACCACACCTGGCTAATTTTTGTATTTTTAGTAGAGATGGGGTTTCACTATGTTGGCCAGGCTGGTCTTGAACTCCTGACCTCAGTTATCCACCTGCCTTGGCTTCCCAAAGTGTTGGGATTACAGGCGTGAGCCACGGCGCCCAGCCAGGAACTCTTTTAAAGTAAATATGACTACAGTAGAAGCCCTCTTCTCCAACGTGACCAGCATCAATGATTGGTGAGTGAATGAAGTCAAAGTGGGAATTAAAAAAAAAAAAAAAAAAAGATCTATATCAAATATTCTAACCTAAAACATAAAGTGAATATTGTTTTTGCTGATCTCTGAATGCAAGGCCAAGGTCTTCTCTTTGAGTATGGATCAGCTGAGTGGAATTCTGTGTACTTTCTTGTGTGAACACACTGATAATTCATCATGGACGGTATCCAGTATTGCTTACGTACGTGGAATAAGAATTTAGACAGATGCTAAACAATCTGAGTGCCAAGTCCTTTCAGGTTATCACAATTTTTTAATTTTTCTTTATCAAGATGGTGTCTCATTCTGTCGACCAGGCTGAAGTGCAATGGCACCATCTCGGTTCACTGCAACCTCCCCCTCCAGGATTCAAGCGATTCTCCTGTGTCAGCCTCCTGAGTAACTGTGATTATAGGTGCCGCCACCACGCCCAGCTAATTTTTGTATTTTAGTAGAGAAGAGGTTTTGCCATGCTGGCCAGGCTGGTCTCAAACTCCTGACCTCAGGTGATCTGCCCACTTCGGCCTCCCAAAGTGCTAGGATTACAGGTGTGAGCCACTACACCCGGCCTATTTGTGTTTTTGATTATACTTTTTGAGTGAATGTGAACTGATAGCTCATTGTGGTTTTAATTTGCATTTTCCTAATGGGGCATTTTTCAGTATCTTTTTTTTTTTTTTTTAAGATGGAATCTCATTATGTTGCCCAGGCTGATCTCAAATTCCCAGGCTCAAGTGATCCTGCCACCTGAGCTTCCTGAGTAGCTGGGATTGCAGGTGCACCACTGTGGTCACTGAACATCTTTTCATGTGCTTATTGGCTGCTTGTATATTTCTTTGGAGAAATGTCTCTTCAGATTTTTGACTATTTTAAGATTCTGCTATTTGGCCGGGCGTGGTGGCTCAAGCCTGTAATCCCAGCACTTTGGGAGGCCGAGATGGGCGGATCACGAGGTCAGGAGATCGAGACCATCCTGGCTAACATGGTGAAACCCCGTCTCTACTAAAAATACAAAAAACTAGCCGGGCGAGGTGGCGGGCGCCTGTAGTCCCAGCTACTCGGGAGGCTGAGGCAGGAGAATGGCGTAAACCCGGGAGGCGGAGCTTGCAGTGAGCTGAGATCCGGCCACTGCAGTCCAGCCCGGGTGACAGAGCAAGACTCAGCTGGAAAAAAAAAAAAAAAAAAAGGTTCTGCTATTTGTCTTTCTTTTTCTTTTTCTTTTTTTCAAGTCTGGTGAACAGGAAGTAGTGTTATTTTTCTTTTTGAGTTGTAATAATTCTTTATGTTTTGGATACAAGTCCTTTATCAGCTATATGATGTGCCAATATTTTCTCCCAGTCTGTGGATTGGCTTTTTCACTTTCTTTTTTATTTTAATATTTTTTTTATTTTTTTGAGACAGGGTCTCTCTCTGTTGCCCAGACTGGAGTGCAGTGGCACGATCATAGCTCACTGCAGCCTTGACCTCCAGGGCTCAGGTCATCCTCCCCTGCCTCAGCCTCCAGAGTAGCTGGGACCGTAGGTGCATGACATCATGCTGCGCTGCTTTTGTATTTTTTTTTTTTTGGAAGAGATAGGGTTTCACCATGTGGCCCAGGCTGGTCTTGAACTCCTGGGCTCCAGCAATCCACCCACTTTGGCCTCCCAAATTGTTGGCATTACAGGCGTGAGCCACCCCACCCAGTCTTTTATTTTTAATTTTTTTGAGTCGGGGTCTTGCTCTGTTGCCCAGGCTGGAGTGCAGTGGCACCATCATGGCCCACTGTAGCCTCAACCTCCTGGTATCAAGCAATTCTCCTGCCTCGGCCTCCAGAAGAGCTGGGATCACTCTGTGTAACGAGCATTGTAATAAGACACTGTGCCCAGCCCTTTTCACTTTCTTCATGGCATCTTTTGAAGCAGAAAAATGTCTAACTTTGATGAAGTCCAATTTATCTACTGTTTTCTTTGTCTCTTGTGCTTTTGGTGTCATAGCTAAGAAGGCTTTGCCTAACCTAAAGGCATGAAGCTTTCCTGCTGTGTTTTCTCCTATAAGTTTTGTGGGTTTTGCTTTTATATTTAGGCCTATGATCCATTTGGAGTTTTTTGTGTATGGTGTGAGGAAGAGGACGTCCAGTTGTCCTCGTACAACTTGCTGAAAGGATGATTCTCTCCCCATTGAATGGTCTTGGCACTCTTGTCAAAAACCAATGGACCATAAAAGTGAGGATTTATTTTTGAACACTCCACTCAACTCCATTCAATTCCATTCATCCATATGTCTGTCCTTATGTCCATTGCACACTGTCTTGATTTCTGAACTCTGTACTGTTTTGAACTTGAGAAGTGCGAGTCCTCCAACTCTGTTCTTCTTTTTCAAGATTGTTTTGGCTATTCTGGGCCCCTTGCATTTCTGTATGAATTCTAAGATCAGCTTGTCAAAAAAGTCAGCTGGGATTTTTTTTTCTTTACAATCTCAGCTGAGATTTTGATAGGAATTGTATTGAATCTGTCGATTAATGTGGGGAGTATCGCCATGTTAACAATATTGATTCTTCCCATCCATAATGTGGGATGTCTATTTATTTAGTTCATCTTTGATTCCTTCCAACAATGTGTTGTAATTTTCAGAATGCACATTTTGTATTTATTTTGTTACATTCATTCCTGAGTATTTTATTCTTTTCAATGCAATTATAAATAGAACTGTTTTCTTAAGTTTACATTTGCACCGTCCATTGCTAGTATATAGAAATACAACTGATTTTTGTATATTAACATTGTGCCCTGCCACTGAACCTATTTATTAATTCCAGTAATAATTTAGTGGATTCCTTAGGATTTTCTGTATGTGAGATTATGTCATTTCAAATAGAGATAGTATTGCTTGTTCCTTGCCAGCCAGATACCTTTCATCATTTTCTTGCCTAATTGCTCTCCCATCAGATATTTAGGGCTGTTGTTATCATCTGGATTGGCTGAGTCCTTGACATTCCAAATGTTACACATTTAGAGCCATGGGCAGATGTTTGGGCTTCTGGGCTAAGCAGAGCTTTCCTTTTGACAAGCTGACAGCCTGTACCAGAGTGAGGATATCAGCTTTTCTCCCAAGCTCTGCTAATTAATGTTTCAGTTGAGGAGTGATCTGTGGTCATTTTCCTCCACAGTCGAAGCAGGTCTCACGCCTTTGAATCCCCAAAGGCACATACACCCTGCAGCTCACGCGTGAGGGCCTCTCCGCTGCGGCCATTGCCTTCAGCCACCTCAGTCTTCTTTTTCAGTACTCTCTTCTAATCCCTGCCACTCAGCCGCTCTCCCAGGATCGAGCTCCTTTTCTCTGAATACTTAACAACACACTGGAACAGTTCGAAAACTTTTGACAGTAGAGAAATGTGGGTGTATTCTCATGCTGAACTCACAGGAAAGATGTAGGATCCGTGAGATGCTGATGCAGCGAAGTGTCAATCGTGCACGTGAACACACACACACGCGCGCGGGGCAGAAACTCTCCACGACTGTCATGGGAGGGAGCAGAGATTTTATCTTCTCTCATGTCACTTTTTGCACAGAACCCACTGCTGTGACATGTGTAGGCAGCAGGCCTCATCCCGGGGAACAGCCCGGCAACCTGGGAGCCAGCATTTCTGAGCCACTTGCAAGCAGAGCGGGCACACCCACAGGTGCGCTGCCCACCTAGGAAGCAGAGCAGGGCGGGATGGCCGCCTTCCCCTTCACTGCTTGGGAATCTTGCCATCCGTCCAGCAGGGTGGCTGGGAATACACCAACAGTGGTGATTTTTCTGGCACTGACGACTGTTGGGGTGAGCCGTGGGCTGCTCTGTATTCAGCTCTCCTGCCGAATAGAATTCAGCCGATGTCTCTGAAGTGCCAATGCCCAGCGCAGAGCAGCTCCGTTCCACATCAGTCGCCCACGCCGCTCTGGGCTCTTCCTCAGTGACGGGGAGGAATGAGGGGAGAGTCTGCTGAGCATTTGCTTCCTTGCTGTCCACGGTGAGAGTTTATTTTCCTGGCCAATCTTTGCAGTTAAACTGATCACACTGCAATCTGTAGTCTGACAGGGTGGTAAGCTTTGCATCTAATTTGTACATAAAATGATAATATTACGAGCACTAGCTGGGGGAGCTTAACAGTTCAGAAAGAAAGGACTTCACTTCCCTCCTCAGCTGTTTACCCCTCAGGTCCGAGAGGTTGATTCTTCTCACAGGGAGTAGCCAGAGGAGTCACCCACCCCTCAAACCACCTCCTTCCACCGTGAGTGGAATGGCACTGCCTGCCCTTGGCACAGGATCTGCTGCAGACGATGGCGGGCCTCCATTTGCCATTGAAGTCCAGGAGTCAAACCATATATGGTTGCATCAATTAAAACTCACTCTTGAATTCAGTGCCAATAAAACTTCCCGCAATGATGGAACTATTCCGTAGCTGCATCGTCTAACATAGTGGTCACCAGCCATATGCGGATACTGAGCACTTGAAATGCTGCCCGTCATTCTGAAGAACTGAATTTTTAATTTTATTTATTTATTTATTTATTTTGGTGTGGGGGGGTGTGGTTTGAGATGGAGCCTCGCTCTGTCACCCAGGCTGGAGTGCAGTGGTGCAATCTCGGCTCACTGCAAGCTCCGCCTCCCAGGTTCAAGTGATTCTCCTGCCTCAGCTTCCCGAGTAGCTGGGATTATAGGTGCCTGCCACCACGCCCGGCTAATTTTAGTATTTTTAGTAGAGATGGGGTTTTACCATGCTAGCCAGGTTGGTCTCAAACTCCCGACCTCAGGCAATTCGCCCACCTCGGCCTCCCAAAGTGCTGGGATTATAGGTGTGAGCCGCTGCACCCAGCCTTTAATTTTATTTCATTTAAATTTCATTTATTTAGAGACAGGGCCTGCTGAGTCGCCTAGGCTAGAGTGCAGTGGCATGATCACAACCCACTGCAGCCTCAATCTCCCAGGCTCAAGTGATCCTTTCACCTCAGCTCCCGGAGTAGCTGGGACCACAGGTATACACCACCACACTCACCTAATTAAAACAATTTTTTTTTGTGGAGATGGGGGTCTCACTATGTTGCCCAGTCTGGTCTTGAACTCCTGAGCTCAAGCGATCTTCCTGCCTAGGCCTCCCAAAGTGCTGGGATTACAGGTGTGAGCCACCATCCCAGCCATTTAATTTGTTTCTTTTTTTTTCTGACGGAGTCTTGCTGTGTTGCCCAGGCTGGAGTGCAGTGGCACAATCGATCTCAGCTCACTGTAACCTCTGTCTCCTGGGATCAAGTATTCTCCTGCCTCAGCCTCCCAAGTAGCTGGGACTACAGGTGTGCACCACCATGCCCAGCTAATTTTTGTATTTTTTACCAAAGGTGGGGCTTCACCATGTTGCCCAGGCTTGTCTTTAAACTCCTAAACTCAAGTGATCCTTCTGCCTCGGGCCCCCAAAATGTTGGGATTACAAGTGTGGGCCACCACGCCTGGCCTCTAGACATTTAAATTTAAGGAGTCACATATTGGCTGGGCACGGTGGCTCATGCCTGTAATCCAGAACTTTGGAAGGCCAAGGCAGGAGGATCACTTGAGTTCAGGAGTTCAAGACAAGCCTGGGCAATGTGGTGAAACCCCGTCACTACCAAAAATACAAAAACAGCCCGTTGTGGTGGCTTGAGTCTGTGGTCCCAGCTACTCGGGAGGCTGAGGTGGAAGAATCGCTTGAGCCTGGTAGGTGGGGGTTGCAGTGAGCCGAGATCGCACCACTCTACTTCATCCTGGGTGACAGAGTGAGACTCCAGAATCACATATGGCCAGTGGCTATGGTATCGGACAGCACAGCTCTGCATAGAAAACATAGAGACACCAGAGGCCTCGCAAGTCAAAGACATGTCTACTCTTGGGACCGTGTTGCATTAAAAAAGGTATCATCTTAAAAAGTTTGAGAGATCTAAATACGTTTAAGTCTTTTTTTTTCTTTTTGCTAATGAGGTGAAAGAGTATCAATTCCCTTAAAAAATTTAACCACCAGGCAAAGGTCTTTTTGCAAAGAAAAATTTGGAGTGTTTTAAAAATAATGAGTTTTGTTTTTCTAAGAATTGTATCCTAATAAGTAGAAATTTAACAACAAAAATAAAAAGGTTTTGGGGATTGTGGAAATAATATATGAACAGGGATTATAGTTACAAATGACATAGAATTTGGATTGATCTGAATACTGTCTTTCTTTCTATATAAAGCCTTCTTTCATCTGTCAGCATTTTCCTGAGAAATGAAGTGGTAAAACTCTGCGGCAATAACTTGGATATATGTTAGCTGGGCTATACCAGTGGTTCTCGGCCTTAGTGGTACATTGGAATCATTTGTGCATCTTTATTAACACACTGGTGCCTGGGCCCCATCCTCAGAAATTCTCATTGAATTCTATCCATGCTGAGCCCAGACCAAACTTTCTAGTGACTTCACTCACTAATTACTGAGCCAACGCCTCACCACCAGGTGATTCTAAGATCCAGCCAGGGCTGAGAACCTCCACACCCAGCTAATTTTTGTATTTTTTGTGGAGAGGGGGTTTTGTCATGTTGCCCAGGTTGGTCTCAAACTCCTGAGCTCAAGCGATCCTCCCACCTTGCCCTCCCAAAGTGCTGGGATTACGGGCATGAACCACCGCACCCGGCCTGTTTTTCTTTTGTAAATTACCCAATCTGTGGCATTCTGTCACCGCAACAGAAAGCAAACTAAGACAGTTGGTTTATGATGCAGAAGAGCGTCTACTTTTTCTAGCTTCAGGAAGAGAGCGTACGTCCCTCCTTCTCATCTTGAAGATTCTTTCACCAGGCATTAGAGCACAGCCTGCAGTTTTCAGGGCTGAGTGCTTGAATCCCATCAACAAGCACTGAGGAGGAGGATGGAAGCAAGCTGAGAAGCAGAAGACTTTAAATATATCTACATTTTTTTAAAGGGCAGAGAGGAGTATTAACAAGAGTGGTGTGGGGCTTGCAATATTTTGCCACTGCAGTGTAGACCTGTCAGTTCCCAGCGGTCTGGCCAGCTGCCCCATTTCCCCGTGGAGTTTGAGGCATCCATATGAAAGCGCCGTTTTTGTGGCTGTTGCCATCACAGACTTCTCACCAGAAAGCTGCAGGGACTCTGTGACTGGACACACCAGGATATGCCGGTTTTTTTTTTTTTTTTTTTTTTGTTTTTGGAGACAGTCTCACTCTGTCACCCAGGCTGGAGTGCAGTAGTATGATCTTGGTTCACTGCAACCTCCACCTCCCAGGTTCCAGCAATTCTCCTGCCTCAGCCTCCCAAGTAGCTGGGATGACAGGCATGTGCCACCATGCCCGGCTAATTTTTGTATTTTTAGTAGAGATGGGGTTTCGCCATGTTGGCCTGGCTAGTTTCGAACTCTGACCTCAGGTGATCCGCCCGCCTCAGCCTTCCGAAGTGCTGGGATTACAGGCCTGAACCGCCATGCCCAGCCTGGGCTATGCCAGTCTTTAAGGATCTGTCCTGATGAGCTGTCACAGCTTCTTTGGAGAAGCCTGCTCCTGTGGCTCCGCCCCCTCATCACACAAGACTGCCATAGGTTGACTTGGGCCCTTGTTGTAGCTCAAGCACATTTCTTCCCCTGTCAGCTTCTATGGAGACAGCGAGCAACCAGTTTGGGTCCTTGCAATCATCGACAAGCTGTTTTTAAATCGTCAGTGAAATGCTTCCCGTCAAGAGCCGAGAACCTACAGCTGCAGTAACTTTTTTTTTTTTTCTTTTTTAAAGAGATGAGGTCTTGCTCTGTCGTCCAGCCTGGAGTGCAGGATGATTATATGGGGTGATTATAGCTCACTGCAGCCTCAAACTCCTGAACTCAAGCCATTTTCCTGCCTCAGCTTCCCCGGTAGCTGGGACTGCAGGCATGTGTCACCATACCGAGCTAATTTTTCATCTGTTTTTAGAGATGGGGGGATAGTTATGTGGTCCAGGCTGCTCTCAAACTCCTGGGCTGAAGGGATCCTCCAACCTCGGCCTTAGGAGCGACTGGGATTACAGGTGTGAGCCGCCACACCCATCTGCCTATAATTTTTCTTACTAATAAAAAGAATCTCCCTTCTCCAAGTGCCTCCTCTGTGTCATGCACTCTACTAAGTACTTTAACGCACTGTTTCGTTTAAGCCTTCAGTAGTCCTGTGAAGTAGGTAGCATTGTTCTCATTTTACTGGTTAAGAAACTGAGGTTTAGGCCGGGCACGGTGGCTTACACCTGTAATCCCAGCACTTTGGGAGGCTGAGGCGGGTGGATCACTTGAGGTCAGGAGTTTGAGACCAGCCCCGCCAACAAGGTGAAACCCCATCTCTACTAAAAATACAAAAATTAGCCGGGTGTGGTGGCACATGCCTGTAAGCCCAGCTACTTAGAAGGCTGAAGCAGGAGAATAGTTTGAACACGGGAGGTGGAGGTTGCAGTGAGCTGAGATCACGCCACTGCACTCCAGCCTGGACAAGAGTGAGACTGGGTCTCAAAAAAAAAAAAAGAAAAGAAAAGAAAAAGAAAAAAGGAACTGAGGTTTAGCGAGATGAAATGTTTTTCCCAGCATGAAAATCTGAAGTGTCAGAGGCCGAGGTCAGCCCGGGTCCTGCTGGCTCCCTCCGCCCGCTCTTCACTGCCTTGCTGTTTCTGCAGTGACTTGAAGGAAGGGAAGTCGGAGAGGGGCCGTTCTCTGCGGTACATGGGGGTGAGGGCTCTGAAAACCATCGTCATGGGTGACTACTAAGATAGTCAGGCTATGGTATCATTCCACTTGCTTCAGCCTAGACCTTCCTGTCCATGAAACTGTACACATTTGCGATCACTCGCCATGTGGCTGCCGTGAACGCCCGTGGACATCGGGACCTGGCAGTGACCCAGAGAAAAACCCCCACTCCCAATGGCATTTTAGAGGGGAGACCGACAATTAACAAGGTTAGCAAGTACAGCATATGGTATTTATTTATTTATTTATTTATTTATTTATTTTTTGAGGCAAAATCTTGCTCTGTCACCCAGGGTGGAGTGCAATGGCACGATCTTGGCTCACTGCAACCTCCACCTCCCAGGTTCAAGTGATTCTCCTGCCTCAGCCACCCAAATAGTTGGGATTACAGGCACCTGCCACCACGCCTGGCTAATTGTTGTATTTTTAGTAGAGACGAGATTTCACCATGTTGGCCAGGCTGGTCTTGAACTCCTGACCTGAAGTGATCTGCGTGTCTCGGTCTCCCAAAGTGCTGGGATTACAGGCGTGAGCCACTGTGCCCAGCCGCATATAGTATGTTTGATGGCAGTAGTGCTAAGGAGAAAAAAATAGCAGGCGGGGTGAACAAGAAATGCTGGAGAAGGGTGAGCCTTTTTAGAGTGGCCTGTCTGGGGGCAGAGCAGCCCAGGCAGAGGGAGTGGAAAGCACCAGCCCTAAAGCCTGGTCCGTGCTCAAGCGGGGGTCAGCGTGGCTGCAGCAGAGGGGGTGGGGGCCAGCAGGGAAGAGCGCGGAGAGATAAGAGGCGGAGTCAGGTAGGGGCTGCAGGCCCACGCTAAGGTCTACGGCTTTTCTCTAATTGAAAATGCCTTTAGAGAAGGCTTTTAAGGAGGGGAGTGACAGAATTGAATCAGATCGTTCTGAAAACTGCTGAGAGTAGGTTGCAGCGGGGCGAGGACAGAGCCGTGGGGCCTGTTAGGACACTACTGAAGTAACCCAGGTGAGGAATGACGGTGGCAGTGGGGAAGATGGAAAGGAATTAGGTTTGGATGTATTTTGAAGGTATTGCTAACAAGACTTCCTAATGAGCTGGCTGCGTGGGGTGAGAGAAGGCAGGTTGAGGAATGTCTTTGGTCTGAGCAACTAGAAGAATAAAGTTGCCTTGAACTGAAATGGGGAGACTGCCAAAAGGCCGGCTGAGTGGAGAGCTGGGAGCTCCGTGAGGCTGGAGACACCCAGTGTCTAATGGCAGTGGGTAGGTGGGTGTGGAGCTCAGGGGAAAGAGTCTCCCTGAAGATAAAAATTAGAGAATCAGGCCAGGAGCAGTGGGTCATGCCTGTAATCTCAGCACTTTGGGAGGTCGAGGCAGGCGAATCACTTGAGGTCAGGAGTTCGAGACCAGCCTGGCCAACATGGTGAAACCCCGTCTCTACAAAAATACAAAAATTAGCCGGGCATGGTGGCAGGTGCCTGTAATCCCAGTTACTTGGGCTACTCGGGAGGCTGAGGCAGGAGAATCACTTGAATCCGGGAGGCGGAGGTTGCAATGATCCAAGATCACGCCACTGCACTCCAGCCTGGGCGACAGAGCAAAACTCTGTCTCCAAAAAAATTAGAGAATCATCATTATATCCATCATATCCGTCTACACCTATCAGATACACAGTATTTAAAGCCATAAGACAAGCTGAGGTTTCCTCAGCGTTGAGTGTAGTTATGCAAGAGAATGGCCGAGGACTGAGCCCCGCAGCACACTGACAATTAGCGATAAGGACAGGAGGATAGGAAAACACCAACAAGGCCAGGTGCGGCGGCTCGTGCCTGTAATCCCAGCACTTTATGAGGCTGAGGTGGGAGGACAGCTTGAGGCCAGCTTGGGCAACATAGCGAGACCTCATCTCTATTAAATATTTAAAAATTAGCCAGGTATGGTCGTGGGCACCTGTGGTCCCAGCTACTTGGGAGGCTGAAGTGGGAGGATCACTGGAGCCCAGGAGATCAAGGCTGCAGTGAGCTTTGACTGGGTCACTGCATTCCACCCTGGGTGACAAGGCAAGACCTTGTCTCAAAACCACCACCATCAACAACAAAACCAACAAAAGTGCTTGAGAGGGTGTCTAAAAAGGCAGGAGGAGAACCGGGAGTGGGCAGCATCCTGGAAGCCGAGAGAAGAAAGTGGTTCAAGGAGGAGATGCGTCAGTTGCATGTCACGTCACCAACGGGTCAAGCAAGAAGAGGGCTGACAGGTGACCGTGGAACTCACCAGTGACCTGCACACCTGTTTAGTGGCATGGTCGGGGCAAAAGCCCAGTTGTGGTGAATTTGAGTGAGGCCCAGAGGAGAGAAATCAGAGGCGGTGGAGGAAGGGCACCATCCATTCTTTGAAGGAGTTCTGTCGTAAAAGAAAGTAGAGAAACGGAGTGGAAGCTGGAGGGGAAAGTGAAGTGAAGAGAGCTTTGCTTTTTTTCTTCTTCAGAAGGGAGAAATACAGTGTGTTTATGAGCGGATGGGACTAACTCAATCGAGAAGGAAAACGTGGAGGTGCAGGAGAGAGAAGACAGCTGCAGGAGCGCTGTCCGCGAGTGGGCCGGAGGAGCTGGGGTCCCATCCCACGGAGGGGCTGGCGGGGGCAGGACAGCTCACCCACGCCGCGGGGAGAAGGTTGAGTACTCGGACACAGACACGCGGGGTGGGTGGACACGCTGGTGAGAGCGCGTAGGAGCTCTTTTCTGATGGCTGCGATGTTCTTGGTGACGTAGGAAGCGAAGTTGCTGAAAGGGAGGAGGGGGAGGAGGTGGTGAAGGTGTAGGGAGAGAAGAGAAGGTATGAAATCATCACCTGGGAGAGTGGGAGACAGAAAAGACAAGAGAAGTATAATATGTTTGTGGAGCATCATTCAGGGCGCACTGGGTTTTTATCAGCCATGTAAAGGATGAACAGAGGCTGACTGAGTTTGTTCTCCAGCCATGGGGCGGTGCAGGCCCAGAGTGGCTGGAGAGCTCCATTCAACCCAGAGTGGCTGGAGAGCTCCACTCAACCCAGAGTGGCTGGAGAGCTCCACTTCCCGGTTTGTCGGCATGGATTAGAACAAGTGCTGAAGGTTTATTCTACTATTATGAGAAGCGAAGAACGACCAAGTGAAACTCCATTCAGCAGGCTGGCTGAGAGCTCACTCAGCAGTGGCTGTGACTCCATTCAGCAGAGTGGCCTGAGCTCCATTCAATAAGGGTTGTGGTTTCATCAGAAGCCTGGCGAGGAGTGGCTGGAGAGCTCCACTCAACCCAGAGTGGCTGGAGAGCTCCATTCAACCCAGAGTGGCTGGAGAGCTCCATTCAACCAGGGTTGTGGTTTCATCAGGAGAGAGCCTGAAAGCGAGAGAGAGGTGAGGAAGTCAGGGGGTCTAAGCAGATGAATGACCATAGTGATTGGATCAGGAGGGAGGGGAGGACGTGGGGGCTGGAGGACAGTGAGAAGGTGGCGAGGTCTCTACAGGGCAGGACTGTAGGTCTTGGTGGACTCATAGGGTTGCTGGAATTGGGGTGCTGAGGGAGTGAGCTGGACAGATAGAGGACATGGTCAGGAGTGACTGGAGAGCGGATGTGGGGGCTATAGGTCTGGATAATGAGGAGGTTAAGGGTATGAGTCTGGGTGGCTGAGAGGGGAGGGGAGGAGGTTCTGGGCCTGGGCAGCCAGGGTTGCTCAGGATACACTGACGGGCGCTCCTGTGAGCACTGCTGTCCTCCTGGAGAACCTCTAGTGAGCATCATGCTCTCTGTGTGCAGGCGCCAGCAGCTTTGCTTGGGGAAGGGACCTCACAGGGGCCATTGGGGCATAAAGGACAAGAAGGACAGACAAGAGAAAGGAGAGAGGCAAAACAATCTGGTTTACGTTCAGCACCCCATTTATAATCCCCCTGCTTCACTGCATCTTCCACGCTGTAACCACAGGCCATTGATGGCTGGTTCTCGAGTGGGCGAGTCATCTACTCAAGGAGACAATTTGTGTGAGCGTGCAGCCTCGAAGCACAGCCCGGCTGGAAGCCCAGCCCCACTGAAGGACACTGTGCTAGGAAACTAGCTTTCCCTTTCCTGGAATTCCCAGGGCTTCACAGGGTTTGTGTTATGGTAGACACTTGTGGGTGGGGAGCCAAGAGTGGTGTGTCCTGTCCCAGGATAGGTGGCTGAGAAGGGTGTGTTTTAGGGGGCAGGATAGATAGGTTTAACCCCACTGGTCACCACCCGTTAGAGCAGCTGAGGTGAGCTGCTTGTGTCTGCTGGAATCCTCCGTTTGCATGAGTGTCCTCCAAAGCTGTCCCTCCCTGGGGACCTGCAGACTGGGCAGCTCCTACCTCTGCCTGGGAGTCAGCCACACTGTCTCCGGCATGGTACAAACATCTCTGTAAGTTGCTGTGCTCTTTGCCGTGAAAAAGTCTAGTGCTCTCTCTGTGTTAGCATTTTACACCCACCCTCCATCTCCCTGCTGTGATAACCATGCGGGGTGGTGTCCACCGAACTGAAGAGGGATTTGATGTACTTGACTTGATATCAAGAGGCATTGTACTTTGGGAAGTCGCTTACCTCTCTTGGGCCTAGGTTTCCCGATCTGTAGAAATGAGTAATAATTTATGTTTTTCCATAAAGCTGCGAAGATGCTCAAATGAGATATTTATGAAAGTGCTTTGTAAACTATACGCTGTAAAAACAGGTTACCTGTTATGTCTTATCTTTGTAGAAATAACAGCAAATAAGTACAAGAAAGAGAGAGAGAGAGACAGCAAGAATTACAGCCTGTATGGAAGACGACTCTAAATAACGTAAGTCTTAGAGGAGCCAGCCATCCTAGACCAGATTCCCATAAAAATCAAACCAGGAAAAAATAAAGAGGAGAAGTTCAATTTCACTGCTGGAAAAGCATGTTTTTCTCCCTGTGGGAGAGGTTATTATTTTAGTGCAGGAAGAGAAGTATAATTCAGTTTTCCCAATCAGCCTTCTGAGGCGTTGCCATGATTCACAGGCTATGACTCACTTATCAGAGTTCTCACTAGTGTATTACCAACAGTTTATATTCCTTAAAAAGGAGATAAGATGAAGAAGAGAGATTACATAATTATTTTTATTTCAGCTTATACCTTGGGTTTATCTGACATGATAATTTCACACAAAAAAAGTTTCTCTCCACCTGCAAAGGAAAAAAAATTCTCATTACTTTTTTCAGAAATCACATTTCCAAAATGCTTGTTAACCTCAGTACTTTTGCTGTCACACTTGGTAAACTACTGTGAAGGAAATTAATTTCTTTCGTTATTATTATTATTTTATTTGAGACTGAGTTTCACTCTTGTTACCCAGGCTGGAGTGCACTGGTGCAATCTCTGCTCACTGCAACCTCCGCTCACTGCAGTCTCCACCTCCCAGGTTCAAGCGATTCTGCTGCCTCAGCCTCCTGAGTAGCTGGGATTACGGGTTCCTGCCACCATGCCTGGCTAATTTTTTGTGTTTTTAGGAGAGACGGGATTTCACTATGTAGGCCCGGCTGGTCTTGAACTCCTGACCTCGTGGCCCACCTGCCTTGGCCTCCCAAAGTGCTGGGATTACAGGCATGAGCCACCATGCCCAACTGTTATTATTATTATTATTATTATTATTTTGAGACGGAGTCTCCCTCTGTCACCCAGGCTGGGGTGCAGTGGCCAGATCTCAGCTCACTGAAAGCTCCGCCTCCCGGGTTTACGCCATTCTCCTGCCTCAGCCTCCCGAGTAGCTGGGACTACAGATGCCCGCCACCTCGCCTGGCTAGTTTTTTGTATTTTTTAGTAGAGACGGGGTTTCACCGTGCACCATGTTAGCCAGGATGGTCTCGATCTCCTGACCTCGTGATCCACCCGTCTCGGCCTCCCAAAGTGCTGGGATTACAGGCTTGAGCCACTGCGCCCGGCCTATTATTATTTTTTTTTTTGAGACGGAGTCTCGCTCTGTCGCCCGGGCTGGAGTGCAGTGGCCAGATCTCAGCTCACTGCAAGCTCCGCCTCCCGGGTTTATGCCATTCTCCTGCCTCAGCCTCCCGAGTAGCTGGGACTACAGGCGCCCACCACCTCGCCCGGCTAGTTTTTTTGTATTTTTTAGTAGAGACGGGGTTTCACCGTGTTAGCCAGGATGGTCTCGATCTCTTGACCTCGTGATCCGCCCGTCTCGGCCTCCCAAAGTGCTGGGATTACAGGCTTGAGCCACCGCGCCCGGCCTATTTTTTTTTAAAGAAACTGGGTCTCACTCTGTCACCCAGGCTGGAGTGAGGTGGTGTGATCATAGCTCACTGTAACCTCAAACTCCCAGGCTCAAGCAATCCTCCTGCCTTAGCCTCCTGAGTAGCTAGGACTACAGGCACACACCACCCCACCTGGCTGATTTATTTATTTATACTTTTGTGGAGACAGAGGTTTTGCTTTGTTGCCCAGGCTGGTCTTGCCTTCAAGCAATCCTCTTGCCTCAGCCTCTAAAAGTGCTGGGATTACAAGGTTAAGTCACTGCACCTGGCCAGAAATTATTATTTTTTTTTTTTTGAGATGGAGTTTTGCTCTGTTGACCAGGCTGGAGTGCAGTGGCACGTGATCTTGGCTCACTGAAACCTCTACCTCCCAGGTTCAAGCGATTCTCCTGCCTCAGCCTCCTGAGTAGCTGAAATTACAGGCATATCCCACCATACCCAGCTAATTTTTGTATTTTTAGTAGAGATGGGGTTTCACCATGTTGGCCAGGCTGGTCTCAAACTCCTGGCCTCAAGTGATCCACCCGCCTGGGCCTCCCAAAGTGCTGGGATTACAGGCGTGAGCTACCACTCCTGGTCCAGAAATTTTTCTAAGGTCAGCATAAAAATAAATCAGCGTGAAACACCCCAACCCATAAGATTTCTTCACTATCAATAGCCATTCTAAAACACATTTATTAGATATTTTTGAATTATGTTATTGTGAATTATATTTTTCAAAATTAAAAAAATCTACCAGTTCATCAAAACACAAGTAAATAGTCTTTTCTACCACCAACTCATGTCATCTAAAAGATCAATCAAATATAGTATAAACATCAAGGCAGACACACTAAAGTTATTAGAATGGCTGCGTGTGGGGGCTTATGCCTGTGCTTTGGGAGGCTGAGATGGGAGGATCTCTTGAGCCCAGGAGTTTGAGACCAGCCTGGGCAATAGAGCAAGACCCCATCTCTACAAAATACACAAAAATTAGCTGGGCATAGTGATGTGTGCCTGTAGTCCCAGATACTCAGGAGGCTGAGGTGGGAGGATCACTTGAGCCTGGAGGTCGAGGCTGCAGTAATTGTGCCATTGCACTCCAGCATGGGCAACAGGTGAGACCATGTCTCAAAAAAAAAGAAGTGAACATTTTCTTTATTCCATTTCATTGATGTCAAGCTCACATAATCACAAATATTCTAATCTGGGAGATTCAAAACCTGTTGATGATTTGAACGTTGTCTAGATTCTATTTAAATGTTTCCTGCAGGCTGTGAAGCTACACACTTCGCACGGAATAAAGGCGTTTATGTGCTTTTTGAGTTCAACCACTTTGACTGCATTAGACCGGGTCTACACTGACTTCATAGGCTATTGAAATGATTTGATAATGACGAATGTATATTATTTACCTGAGTAACTACAGTGGTTTAGGCACTTTGCATGTATGTTATTTATTTATTTATTTTTTGAGACAGAGTCTCACTCTGTTGCCCAGGCTAGAGTGCCATGGTGCAAACCTGGCTAACTGCCACCTCAACCTCCTGGGCTAAAGCAATCTTCCCACCTCATGCTCCCAATTAGCTGAGACTACAGGCGTGCACCACCATGCCTGGCTAATTTTTTTTTTTTTTTTTTTTTTTGAGATGGAGTCTCACTCTGTTGCTCAGGCTGGAGTGCAGTGGCACAATCTTGGCTCACTGCAACCTTCACTTCCTGGGTTCCAGCAATTCTCCTGCCTCAGCCTCCCAAGTAACTGGGATTACAGGTGTGTGCCACCACGCCTGCTAATTTTTGTATTTTTTAGTAGAGATGGGGTTTCACCATATTGGCCAGGCTGGTCTTGAACTCCTGACTTCATGATCCACCCACCTCGGCCTCCCACAGTGTTGGGATTACAGGTGTGAGCCACCACGCCTGGCCCCGGCTAATTTTTTATTAATACTTTTTTGTAGAGATGGTGTCTTGCTATGTTGCCTAGGCTGGTTTTGAAATCTTGGGCTCAAGAAATCCTTTTGCCTTAGCCTTCCAAAGTGCAAGATTATAGTCGTGAACCACCATGCCCAGCCTCATATACACATTTTAATTCATCCCACAATACTGAGTTTGAGAAAACAGCCTCAAAGAGGTTAAATCATCTACCAATGGTTACTCAGCAAGTAGGCGGCTGAGCCAGAATCCTAAACCATGTCAACCTTTTCCCATCCGATGACACAATGCCTAAATAAATATTCTACCAAATGCAAGGCTAAGCTGAATCTGAAGAATTTTAACAAGGTACTGGATTCAGACCAAAATTTTAATTTGGAGCCCAAATCATTTAGATCAGTTCTCTGCCTTGGTTAACCTAACCAGTGGATGTCTACTTCACTGGGTGCCAGTGGATTTGGGTCTCAAAGAACATGCATTTGAAAAAATTAGGAGGAAAAAAAATCCTTTGGACAATATGTCTTTTAAAAAAATCAACCAAAACTCCCTTTGGGACTGTGATTTTCCCACAGAAACAGATAGGAATCAGGTCTTATATCAGTTTCTTGCTGCCCGGAAATTTCAAAGCAACAATGTTCAGAAGGAGACTGAGAAAGCAGGACAGCAACAAAAATGGAAGGAACTAATTGGCTACAAGTTTCTTGTGTGATGTGACCTCCCCTAGGTCATCTTTTCCTAGATTGATAGCTGTGGCACCTGCTGTGATTGGAATGGGCTCCTGTACTTTTGGCATTGCAGGTCCCATAGCCAGAGCTCACTGTTGTCCTTTCTGTCAGGAACTTCTCTTGAGGCAAAAGAGATGCCCCTCAAACTAACTGGGCTTTAATGTAATGGAACCTGGACAGGATCCATGATCCAGCTTCCTATTCAGAGATTCTGAGAGGCTGAAGAATTCTAGCCAAGAATACGTAAGCTTGTTGGAAGGAATTTAAGGCAATGTTATCTCCTAAAACATTCCACATGCCCACTCCCATCATCCCCAGTAAAACGTAATCCCAGCACTTTGGGAGACTAAGGTGGGCGGATTGGTTGAGGCCAGGAGTTTGAGACCAGCCTGGGCAACACGGTGAAACCCGTCTGCTGAGACCAGCTCAGTTGTGGAGACCCTAGCAGCAGCACTAGAGGAATTAACCTAACCCAGCAGTGCCAGAGGAATTAACCTAACCCAGCAGCGCCAGAGGAATTAACCTAACCCAGCAGCACCAGAGGAATTAACCTAACCCAGCAGCGCCAGAGGAATTAACCTAACCCAGCAGCGCCAGAGGAATTAACCTAACCCAGCAGCGCTAGAGGAATTAAAGACACACACAGAAATACAGGGTGTGGAGTGGGAAATCAGGGGTCTCACAGCCTCCAGAGCTGAGAGCCCCAAACAGAGATTTACCCACATATTTATGGACAGCAAGCCAGTGATAAGCATTGTTTCTATTGATTATAGATTTACTAAAAGTATTCCTTACGGGAAACAAAGGGATGGGCTGAAACAAAGGGATGGGTCTGGCTAGTTTTCTGCAGCAGGAGCATGTCCTTAAGGCACAGATCGCTCATGCTATTGTTTGTGGTTTAAGAATGCCTTTAAGGGGTTTTCCGCCCTGGGCGGGCCAGGTGTTCCTTGCCCTCATTCCGGTAAACCCACACCCTTCAGCTGGGCGTCATGGCCATCATGAACATGTCACAGTGCTGCAGAGATTTTGTTTTTGCTCAGTTTTGGGGCCAGTTTATGGCCAGATTTAGGGGCCTGTTCCCAACACCCATCTCTACTAAAATTATAAAAATTAGCTGGGCATTGTAGTACATACCTGTAATCGCAGCTACTTGGGAGGTTGAGGCAGCAGAATCACTTGAACTCAGGAGGTGGAGATTGCAGTGAGCCGAGATTGTACCACTGAACTGCAGCCTGGGTGACAGAGCAAGACTCTGTCTCAATAAATAAACAAACAAATAATGATGAATTGAAGCTTAGTATACATTCAGAAAAGGGCATAAATCCCTAGTGGATAGTTCAATAAATTCAATAAATTTTTACAAGGTGAACATACCTGTATAACCAACATCAAATCAGGAAATAAGACATTACCAATAACCAGAAGCCCCGTCAAGCCCCTTCTCTCTCTCTAGAGCAGACACTCTTCTGATTTTAATTGTTATGGAATATATTAATTTTGCCTGAGTTTATATTTTATATAATTGGAATTCAATGTTGTACCTTGTGCTGGTTAATTTTATTTGCCAATTTGACTGGGCCACAGGGTGCCCAGACGTTTGGTTCAACGGTATTCTGTGTGTCTGTAAGAGTGTGTGTGGATGCGATTAAGAGTTGAATTGGTGGACTGAGTAAAGCAGATTGTGGGCCTCACCCATCAACTGAAGGCCTAAATATAACAAAAGGCTGCTCCTCCCAAGAGTCAAAAAATTCCTCCTGCCTGATTGACTGTTTTTCCTGCCTTTGGACTCAGACTAAAACATCAGCTCTTCCTGGGTCTTGAGCCTACCAAACATTGGATTAAATCTTCATCATCGGCCGGGCATGGTGGCTGACGCCTGTAATCCCAGCACTTTGGGAGGCTGAGGCGGGTGGATCACTTGAGTTCATGAGTTCGAGACCAGTGTGGCCAACATGGTGAAACCCATCTCTACTAAAAATACAAAAATTAGCCAGGTGTGGTGGCACATGCCTGTAATGCCAGCTACTTGGGAGGCTGAGGCAGGAGAATCACTTGAACCCAGGAGGTGGAGGTTGCAGTGAGCTGATATCATGCCATTGCACTCCAGCCTGGGCAACAGAGTGAGGCTCCATCTCAAAAAAAAAAACCCCCAAAAACCAAAAACAAAAAACTTCACTATCAACTCTCCTGAGTCTCCAGCTTGCCAGCTGCAGATCTTGGGAATCCTCGACCTCCATAACTGTGTGAGCCAATTCGTTATAATACATCTCTTCATACATCTATTGCTATGGCTTCAATATTTGTCCCTTCTGAAACTTACATTGAAATTTAACCCCCCAGTGTGGCAGTATTGAGAAGTGGGGACTTTAAGAGGTGATTGGGTCATGAGAACTCTGCCTTCATGAATGGATTAGCCAGATGTGGTGGCGGGCACCTGTAGTCCCAGCTACTTGGGAGGCTGAGGCAGGGAGGCTGAGGCAGGAGAATTGCTTGAACCTAGGAGGTAGAGGTTGCTGTGCGCCGAGATCTCACCACTGCACTCCAGTCTGGGCGACAAGAGCAAAACTTCATCTAAAAAATAAATAAATACAAATTTAAAAAATTACCCAGTTTTAGGTATTCTGTTATAAACAACAAAAAATGGACTAAGACATCTATATCTATATCCCTTCCCTATTAGTTCTGTTTCTCTGCAGAACACTCATACATACCCTGCTTGCTTTTGCATTTTTACTTAATGTAGTGAACAAAGTCTGCTTTCATTAACAGACTTGAACTGAGCACCTACAGTATCTGGAGTGCTTACCAAGCATCTGTCATGTCTTATAAATGAAATGTTTATTTTCTCCAGGATGATAATATTGGTGGAATCAAAGCATCTAGAAGACCATGCATTCCATTTTAAATCTAGTTGAGATGGCATCATTCATACCTCCTCAAATCTGGACAATTACAAATGACTCAACCAGCAGGTGCCAAATTCCACCGATACCCTGAGTATGCCTGAAGCAACCACCTAAACCCAAGCTAATAGCCAGACGTATGCTCACTGAATGGATAACTTACCTAACCTTGAGGTGAGTTAAGAATCAAACACACTCACGGTTTTAAAAAAATGTTTTTGAAGTGGATTTTATTATTTTATTTTTATTTTATTTTATTTTTTTTGAGATGGAGTCTCACTCTGTCACCCAGGCTGAAGCTCAATGGCATGGTTTTGGCTCACTGCAACCTGCGCCTCCTGAGTTCAAGGGATTCTCCTGCCTTAGTCTCCTGAGTAGCTGGGACTACAGGTGCATGCCACCATGCCCGGCTAATTTTTGTATTTTCAGTAGAGACAAGGTTTTACTATGTTGGCCAAGCTGGTCTCGAACCCCTGACCTCATGATCTGCCTGCTTCGGCCTCCCAGAGTGCTGGGATTACAGGCATGAGCCGTCATGCCCAGCCTGAAGTGGATTTTATGAATAAAGACTTTGTGGCTACCTGCTATCCTATGGAGTCCGATGTGGCCTTCACTTTAATACTTCCTCAAATAGATAGTAGTGAGATGGGAGAGGCAGGAGAAATACATCTGGGGTCAGTGAGCCACCACAAGCATTTCCATGATAATTCTCCACACTGGCCAATTGATCAATCATATATTGGAATATATATTGGAATATAATCCAAATGCTAGTCAAGGCCTCCGTGTCTAGCTGGCTCCTGTTTGCATCTATCTCAAAACCTCACATTACCCTCCATAGAAATCTTGGGCCCTTCACTGGTTCCCAACAGAAATCTACCTAGACAGCTGGTTTTTGAGTTTTAATAGAATTTTACTGAGGGTTACCAGGCGCGATGGCTCCCGCCTATAATCCCAGCACTTTGAGAGGCCGAAGAGGGCAGATCATGAGGTCAGGAGATTGAGACCATCCTGGCTAGCACAGTGAGACCCTGTCTGTACTAAAAATACAAAAAAATTAACTGGGCGTCGTGGCGGGCGCCTGTAGTCCCAGCTATTCAGGAGACTGAGGCAGGAGAATGATGTGAACCTGGGAGGTGGAGCTTGCAGTGAGCCGAGATCACGCCACTGCACTCCAGCCTGGGCAACAGAGCAAGACTCCATCTCAAAAACAACAACAACAAAAAAACAACTGAGGGTTTGGGGGTAGGGGCATCTCATTTTAATACAATGTACAGCATCCCTGTCTCATTTCTCATTCTCTTTTTGCTTTTCCTTTTTCTCAGAAGCTCCTTAAAGTACTCTCCTGATCTTCTGGCAAATAATTCAGCAAACATCTTTCGTTGCTTGAGAATGCCCTGGGAGGCCTCCTCCTTATCCTCAGTAAGCTTGTCAGTGTGTTTCTTCCAAGTACATACAGCACTTTCTCAAAGAGATCTAACAAAATAAAAACTTTCCTCTTCTCATTATAAGTTGAGTGATAACATGATTTCTATTGCTCAGCATTAGTCTAGGCCCAGGGAGATATATAGGAGAACAGAAGATGATTCCTACCCTCAAGGCATTTAGAGTCCATGGAGAGATAATTACTAAGCATGAAATAGTTGGAGAATACTTCAGTGCCAGGCTATGTGGTAATGTCCATGCACTGGGGGTTAAGCATAGTGCCAGGTCAGCTCAGCTGAGCCAGGGGAAAACGATCTCCAGGTGGGTGTGTGGGGTGGGTTGAATTTGGTTTGGCTGCCTGGTGGGAGGAGCACAGTTCAGGGTAAGGGCACAGCATCAACAAAGTCATGAGCGTGGCAAGAGGGAGTGTGAGTACTGATGAGAAATAAACCTGGTTGAGAGAATGGAGTGAAATTAGGGTGCTGATAGCCAGAGACGTGGACTGTGGGACCAGTGATAATGGAGATAGATTCCCCAGCTGGTTCCTCGAGTAGAAAGTGACACACAGAAAACCACATCAAGAGGCCTTGCCTGACAGCCGCGTACAGGATGCACTGGAGGGGGAAAGGGAGACCATCTGCTACAACCAAGCCCTCAGACTGACGTGTGGATGTTTGGGATTAGGAGGGGCAACAGGAAGGGAGATTAAAAGGTGAATCTGCTGGCTGGGCATGGTGGTTCACGCCTGTGATCCCAGCACTTTGGGAGGCCGAGGTAGGCGGATCACCTGAGGTCAGGAGTTCAAGATCATCCTGACCAACATGGAGAAACCCTGTCTCTACTAAAAATACAAAATTTAGCCGGGTGTGGTGGTGCATGCCTGTAATCCCAGCTACTTGGGAGGCTGAGGCAGGAGAATCGCTTGAATCTGGGAGGTGGAGGTTGCAGTGAGCCAAGATCGTGCTTATTGCCCTCCAGCCTGGGCAAAAAGAGTGAAACTTCATTTCAAAAAAAAAAAAAAAAAGGTGAATTTGCAAAAAACTTAAGCATCACTGATCTCTAATTGGTCACAGGAACGGAGGAAAGGGGGAACGACTTGAGGGAGGCAGCCCCTCTCTGGATTCCAAGCCCTGCTCGGAATCAGAGGGCAGTGGCGGGAGGTGAAGGCTAAAGGTGCTTTTTAGTTTGGATGTTTGTGTGTCCCTCTGCATCCCTCCCTTCCTCTCCCGTTGTCATTCTCTCATCTTCTGCGTTAATTCCTACCAGCACATCTATACGTACCACCACTGGTACAGCCTCCTAAGGCTCTGCTTAGGCAAGGGATGAAGGGTTACCAATGACCCAGTAATAAATGGTAAGTGAATTTGTCTTGCATCATGCCTGCAGGGGAATCTTTCCTAAGTTGTTTAGAACTTTGAATTGTTTACTCTAAGGAAGGGCTTCTTAACCTGAGGACTATGGATAGATTGCAAGAGATCCATGGAGTTAGATAGGAAATTCACTAACCTTGAACTGAAATTGAGCATTACTATAAATCCAGGCAATAAACCATGTAGCATTATCAGTCCCAGTGATTTGGTCACCATCAATGGAAATCACAGACATTTTTATATCATGTTATAGTTGTTTCAGAGAGCATGAACTATCTTCTGCACTTACTACTTTGCAATTTTAATAGTGAAACTAGACCTCCCGCTTTATCTTGTTATTGAGTGTGTTAATTTCTCACAAATATATGATTAATCGGAAATTTTAAAAATATTTTGGCCAAGTGAGGTGGCTCACATCTGTAATCCCAGCACATTGGGAGGGCAAGGTGGGAGGATCACTTGAGATCAGGAGTTTGAGACCAGACTGAACAACACAATGAGATCCCATTTCTACAAGAACTGAAAAGATTAGCTGGGTGTGATGGCACATGCCTATAATCCTAGCTACTTGGGAGGCTGAGGTGGAAGGATTGCTGAAGCAGTGATTGCACCACTGCACTCCAGCCTGGACAACAGAGTGAGACTCTGTCTCAAAAAAAGAAAGAAAAGAAAAGAAAGAAGAAAAGAAAGAAAGAAGAGAGAGATAGAGAAAGAGAAAGAAAGAAAGAAAGAGAGAGAGAGAGAAAGAAAGAAAGGAAGGAAGGAAGGAAGGAAGGAAGGAAGGAAGGAAGGAAGAAAGAAAGGAAGAAAGAAAGAAAGGAAATGGGAGGGAGGCAGAGCAAGATGGCTGAATAGAAGCCTAACAATTGTCCTCCCTGCAGGAACATCAAATATCCACACACACACACACACACACACACACACACACACACACACACACCCCTTCATAAGAATCAAAAATCAGGTGAGCAATCACAGTACCTGGTTTTAACTTCCTGTTGCTGAAGGAGATACTGAAGAGGGTAGGAAAGATAGTCTTGAACTGCTGACTCCACCCCTCTCCAGTCTCCCAACAGTGGCCATGTGGCACAGAGAGAGCCGGTGTGCTTGGGGGAGGGAGAGCGCAGTGACTGGGGGACTTTGCACTGGAACTCAGTGCTGCCCCCTCAGAGCAGAAAGTAAAACCAGGCAGAACTCAGCCAGCAATGGAGGGAGCATTTAGATCAGCCCTAGGCGAGGGAACTTGCCCATCCCAGTGGTGGAAAGCCGACTTTCGGCAAACCTCGCCACCATGCGCTAAAGTGCTCTGGGATCCTAAATAAATTTGAAAGGCAGTCTAGGCCACAAGGACTACAACTCCTAGGCAAGACCTAGTGCCACACTGGGCTTGGAACCAGTGGACTTGGGGGCACATGGCCTCCTGAGACACAAGCCTGGGCAGCTAAGGGAGAGCTTGTGCCACTTATCCCCCAACCTCAGGCAGCACAGTTCACAGCTCTGAAAGAGACGTCTTCCTCCTGCTTGAGGAGAGGGAACTTAGAAACCAGCTCAGCCACAGTGGCACAGGGCACCAGGCAGTCATGAGGCCTCCATTCCAGGCCCTAGCTCCTGGACTACGTTTCTAGACATACCCTGGGCCAGAAGGGAACCTGCTGCCTTGATGGGAAGGACCCTGTCCCAGCACACTGCATCACCTGCTGACTACAGGGCCCTTAGACCCTGTATAATCAGCAGCAATACCCAGGGAGTACGTCATGGGCCTTGGGTGAGACTCTGAGATGTGCTGGCTTCAGGCATGACCCAGCACATTTCTAGCTGTGGTGGCTACAAAGAGGGACTATCTTTGCTTGAGAAAAGGAGAGGGAAGGGTAAAGGGGACTTTGTCAAAACCAGGCAGAACTCAGCCTAGGTACCAGCTCAGCCACAGTGGGGTATAGCACCAAGTGGGCTCTTGGGGCCCCTAATTCTAGGCCTTGGCACTTGGATGGCATTGCTGGACCTACCCTAGGCCAGAGGGGAGCCCGTTTCCATGAAGGATGAGTCCTAGGCCTGGCAGCGTTCTGAAGAGCCCTAGGCTGTAAGTGAACATCGGTGGTAGCCCGGCTGTACCCCCCTGGGTCCACGGTGGTGGTGGCCATGGGGAGACAATCCTCTCCTGGTGGAGAGGGAAGAGAAGAGTGGGAAGGACTTTGTCTTGTAGTTTGAGTGCCAGCACAGCTACAATAGGATAGAACGTCTAAGGTTTCTGGCTCCAGGTCCTGGCTCCCAGATAGCATCTCTGGGCCCACCTAGGGCCTGGGGGAACTTGCCACTCTGAAGGGAAGGACATAAGCCTGGCTTCACCGCCTACTGACTGTAGAGCCTTCGGGCCTTGAACAAACACAGTTAGTACCCAGGCAGTGGTTATAGCAGGCCACGGGTGAGACCCAGTGCAGTCACAGTGGTGGTGGCCACAGGGGTGTTGTGTCACCACTTCCCCAGCTCCAGGCAGCTCAGCACAGAGAGAGAGAGAGAGACGCTGTTTAAGATAAAAGTAAGGAATGAGAACAAGAGTCTCTGCATGGTAATCTAGATAATTCTTCCAGATTTTATCCAGTACCACCAAGGCAGTACCTCTAAGAATAACCACAGTGTTACTGGGCTTAGGGAGACCCTAAGGCAGATATGGCTGGAGTGACCAAAAGCTTAGATCACAACACTCAAGTCCCATCTAACATGCACAAAGCCTTCCTAAGAAGAGCAGGTACAAAGAAGCCCAAACTGTGAAGATTATAATAAATACTAACTCTTCAATGCCCAGATACCAATGAACATCCACAGGCAACACGACCCTGCACGAAAACATGCCCCCAACAAATGAACTAAATAAGGAACCAGAGACTGATCCTGAAGAAGCAGAGGTATTTGACTTTTTGGACACAGAATTCAAAACGGCTATTTTGAGGAAACTCAAAGAAATTCAAGAGAACACAGAGAAGGGATTCAGATTCTATCAGATAAATTTAACAAATAATTGAAATAATTAAAAAGAATCAAGCAGAGATTCTGGACCAGAAAAATGCAATTGGCATACTAAAGAATGCATTAGAGTCCTTTAATAGCAGAATTAATCAAACAGAAGAAAGGATTAGTGAGCTCGAACACAGGCTATTTGAAAATATACAGGCAGAGGAAACAAAATAAAAAAAGACTAAAAAACAATGAAGCACACTTAAAAGGACCTAGAAAATCGCTTTGAAAGGGCAAGTCTAAGATTTATTGGCCTTAAAGAGGAGGCAGAGAGAGGGATGGGGTAGAAAGTTAATTCAAAGGATAAAAACAGAGAACTTCCTAAGCCTAGAGAAAGATATCAATATCCAAGTACAAGAAGGTTATAGAACACCAAAGAAGATGACCACGAGGCATTTAATCATCAAACTCCCAAAGGGTCAAGAATAAAGAAAGGATCCTAAAGGCAGTAAGAGAAAAGAAACAAATGACATACAACAGAGCTCCAATACATCTGGCAGCAGACTTTTTAGTGGAAACCGTACAGGCCAGGAGAGAGTGGCATGACATATTTAAAGTGCTGACTAGGCTGGATGCAGTGGCTCACGCCTGTAATCCCAGCACTTGGGAGGCTGAGGCGGGCAGATCACCTGAGGTCAGGAGTTAGAGACCAGCCTGATCAACATGGAGAAACCCCATCTCTACTAAAAATACAAAACTAGCTG